TCCCACCCCCTGCCCTGTGCCCCTCCTCACCCCAAGCCTGCCTCCCGCACCCCACACTCCTAGCCCCCTGCCCTGGGCCCTTCCTCACTCCAACCCTGACTCCTGCACCCTCCCACACACTGACCCTCTGCCCGCATCCCCACCCTCTGCCCTAAGACTTCCCCCCACACACTCACACACACTCTAACCCCCTGCCCCGAGTCCTTCACACTCCACCTTATACTTAATTTCTTATGGATTCTGTCACACTCCCCTGCCCTGAGCTCCCCCAGCAGCGGGCCACATGACAGTACCTGTAAGAAACTTAAGTTACTTTCACCCCTGAAAGGGCCTCTATCAATTTGTCTTACTCTCTCCCTCTGCATTTCTCTCTGCATATCTCCCTTTCTCTCTGGGTCTGTCTCTGCACAGGCTGGTCCCCACAGGTGTTCCCTCTACCCTGAGTGCTTGGGTGGCCACCCAAAAGAGATTCAAATGCTGCCCAGCTGATAAGCAGAGCACCTGTGGCCAGCAGCAGATGGCAGCATGTGTTTTTAGTTGTAGTGCACATCTGAACATGCCTGGGAGCACATAAAATTTATTCTGCACATGCATGGTTGGAAAAAAAATTAGAGGGAATCCTGGTCCCCACTCATTCTTCCTTTTCTGTGCCTCTTTGTCCCCACCATCCCCCTCTCTGCCTCCCCCCACTCTCCACAGTTTTCTCTCTCACTCTGAGTATTTCTTGCTCGCACTCTTTGGGACCTGGTTGTTCCAGGCCAGAAGGCTGGGGAGAGGCTGGAATGAGCAGTGAAACACAGTGCTGGGGGTGTGAGAGTTACTGATGGTTCCCCGCATCTGCTCTCAGCCAACAGGTGTGTGTGAAAGAGGAGACACTGGCATCTCGCAGTAGAAGGTGAATGATGACTGAGGTGGGAACAACACCCCTGCTTCTGACAGAGACCAACCCACACAACACGGACAGTGAACCTGGATGCCAAATACATGATTTCACATCTTTGATCCTTGACAGCGTCACTGTGCTCATCTGTCTCTTCGGGCTGGCGGGGAATGGGATGGTGTTTTGGCTCCTCGGCTTCTGCATTAAGAGGAACCCCTTCACAGTCTACATCCTCAACCTGGCCATCGCCGACTTTATCTTCCTCCTCTGCCTGCTTGCTTACCTCATGCTTAGTATGGTGGAAACTCTCTTCTGTTTGCCTGAATTTGGGCAATCAATACGGGTTTTCCACCTGCTGTTTCTCTTCGCCCACAACGCCAGCCTGTATCTCCTGACGGCCATCAGCCTGGAGAGGTGTCTGTCCGTCTTCTATCCCATCTGGTGCCGATGCCGCCGCCCAAAGCGTCTGTCTGCCCTGGTGTGTGCCTTGCTGTGGGCTCTCTCTGGCCTGGTAACTGGGCTAATGACTTATTTCTGTGTTTCTAAAAAAGATAGACATTGTAGAGCATCACGTATTGCCATATATGTGGTGGATTTCCTGATTTTCGCGCCCGTCATGGTTCTGACCAACCTAATCCTGTTCGTCAAGATCCAGCGTAGCTCTCAGCAACGTCAGCCTGGAAAGCTCTACATTGTTATCTTGCTCACTGTTGTCTTCTTCCTCATCTTTGCTATTCCCTTCAGTATGAAGAGCTTTGGCCAGTATTTTAATTCTGTTGCTATCAGCATTGAGGTATGTTATGCATTGGCTTCTGTAAACAGCAGCATTAACCCGGTTATTTACTTCTTAGTCGGGAGCTACAGGAAGTGGCAATTCAGGGGTTCTGTCAAGTTCGCGTTCCGGAGGGTCTTTGAAGAGCAGGTAGAATCCAGAGAGGACAGAGAATCCCGCAGGACAACCATAATGGAGATGAACAACTAAATCCCTACCACGCCCAGAATGAGAGACCTTCTTATGGGCATGGAATTGTATTAATTAGTATGAAAATTAGCAACTTCCCACTTGTTGATTTTTTTAAAATGTCCCATATAGCATATTTCTGTGGCACTTGGTTATGACATTATATCAGTCTTGGAAAACTTTCATTGGCATGATATTAGGGCCTATTCTACACAGCCTCCAAGATATATATCCAGTGAATATCTATTTTTAATTCAATGTGGCAGTAAATGGTTTCTGCTTCTGTCTGCCAATCACCTACTAGAAAGAGGGATTGAAAAAAATGCATTTTGACAGGGTGGACATGAGAGGCACTAGCTTACTGACATTAATCTCAAAGGGCAACTTTATTATGTTTGCTCAAACTATAAGAATTAAAGAGAAAGAAAGTTATTCTAAAGTCAGAAATACATATCAATATCTACCTAATTAAACAAGATACACATTGCCCAATTCAGTACTACGTGTGATCATTAGAAAATCAAATAATTCCAGAGGGACACAAATAAAAGAGCCGTGAGTGATGGAAAGGTGATGGTTAGAGATCACCCGGTAGCTATAAGAAAGAGTTTACATTCCCGTTCCCACTCCGCAAGAATATGGCTGCAGTATATAAAGTTCAAATGTTTTATCTTTCTTATCCACCTTTTCTGTGTATTTAAATTGTAAAAAGTGTGTTAATGGGAGTTGCCAACTGGAGGGAATAATTCCGGACACACTGGGTGCAGGTGAAAACAAGCAGAGGATTTATTGGTTCACACAGCTGGTGGAGTATCCATCAGGGGTTAACCTGGTGAGCACTAACTTAACCAAAACATACATTAGATTATATAGGCAGCAGATGGGTGGAGGGGAAGTGATTTGATAGGTCTAGCGGCGGAAATGAGATATGCACATAAGCCAATGAAATATAAAGGTTACATAGGATCCCCACCCATCGCCAATTAAACGTATTATCACTAATACAAATAATTATTCTTAACAAGCTAAATAAGCCAACATAAACAGGATGGAAGCCCCCAAAATGGACATGTTAATGTTAACTTGTTTTGCTGAAATTGACACAGTCCTTGGGATCCAAGCTGATTAATCTGAAATTACAGGAGACAGTAAGGAAAACCACGCAGCCTGGCTGGTACCCGCCAGGCCTTATCAGAGTGAGTCCCCTTTGGAATGTAGTTGCCAGGGGAACCAGGGTCGAGTTAACGGTTGTCTGTGTGCTGTATTCCCAGGCTTGTCTAATGATTCCGGATTTGAGTTCTCAGTTCTCAGCAAGATACCATGGACTGCCTCAGTTTACCCCTTCACCAACTCTAACTTAAAATGAAACCCCTGGGCCACAGGGACCTATTTTAATGTTGTAACAGAGCACGAAGGCATCAATAACATCATCTCCCTTCTTAGGCCCAAGACCAGAGGTGCCAGATTTCGAATGTGCTAGGGCAGTGGTCCCCAACCTTTGGAGGTTGCCGGGTACCAGGGGGTGTGGCCGTTCG